TTCATTTCTTTATTTTGTATTTATTTATTTATGGATTATTTACACATTAATAAAATAACACCTAAGACAACCTTAGAATATTGTCAAATGTTATGTTTGGGTTTATTTGACATTTATTTGCACAATTATTTAACTAGAATCTATGATTCGGTTCAGAATTGAGAATATTTCTTGTTCAGATTAAAAAAGTGAGTTTTCCATCATGAGAAAAATATTTTTTTCCTTTTTATCTTTTTTATGGCATTGAAAATGGCATCAAATATTCCCCAGGGTATATTGATATCCAGGTTAAAATTGTAGAATCTTGACAACCCTAACTTTCTTTCCCTGGTCTGTACAATTATCCTGATTCTTCAAAGTATTACAGTGTGTTCCGTTTGACAGATGCATATAAATCCAATAGATTGTGATTCTAATGTTACAAGAAACGGGGTGACGAAGACATAAGAAAACTTTTGCACAGCTCTTTAAAAAAAACATACCGCACAACATGGTAGCTGAATACATTAATTATTTACTTTTTAAATCTATATTAAAATTTTTAAAGTTAGGAAGTTCATGCCTTTTTAAATAGTTAAACTCCTCAATAAAAAAAAAATACTAGTTCTTTAATTCTTATTGGAACAAATCTACTTCACCGGGTAACCTTTGGATTTTCTCTCTGATTGTCAGCCCTGCAGAAGAAGCCAGAGGAGATTAATCGTCGCTCTGCTGACATGTGGAGCTTTGCCATCTTGCTGTGGGAGCTGGTGACCAGAGAGGTTCCATTTGCAGACTTGTCCAACATGGAGATCGGCATGAAGGTCACCAAAATTAGAGCTCAGTGGATTTCATTTAGTAAAACAAGATAAATGCAGATGGAGAAATGAATTAAGCTTGTATGTGTTGAATTTCAGATTGCTTTGGAAGGTCTGAGGCCCACCATCCCTCCTGGCATCTCCCCACACATATGCAAGCTTATGAAGATTTGCATGAACGAAGACCCGGCGAAAAGGCCCAAATTTGACATGATTGTGCCAATTTTGGAAAAAATGCAGGACAAGTGAAAAACTGTAACTCTTCTCCTTTGTCAAACAATTTCAAAACCTGGATCTTTTTTAATCAGATGCTACTTTGACTCTTGAAATGGTGTTTTGGTGCTTACCAGTATTGCCTTAATCTCTTTATCGCTACATTCATCTCCTCTGAAGCTTCTGAGAGGGCAGCAGTCACTTCTTTTATACATGTTTTTTTCTTTTTCAATTGATATGTCATGTTATAGTTTTTGTCATGTATGTCTTTGCAGGAGTTTGGCTGCTTCATTTCTTAACTAATCATGTGGATGAGTACAATCGTTTCCTACTCACTAAACAACCTGTGGAGATCACCATGACGATATGTTGTATCAGACGGCTGGATTTCAGCTTAATTCTGTTCAAAATGTAAATTCTGTGGTTGACTTATGACTTAAAATAACAGATTATCCTGAAAAAAATACATTACAGGAAAAAGGTGGTTGTTTCTGTGGCAAAGAACTGTATTCAATGAGCAAGCATGCCAAACATCAGAAGTTAGCTGATTGCCTGAACTTACAAGGTTATGCATTTGAATTCATCAGTATTGGCAGTTTAATGCAATCATCCTGCAAGCAGTTTAAATAAAAAAAAAAACTTTTCTTTTTTCCTTTTACTGGGGCAGTGACTATGCACCAAAATATTTTTGGGAAAATGAGTTCAATAGTGCATCACAGGATTATTTTTATCTTCTTGCAATCAGTTTGTAACTGAATTGTTTATCATGGCTTTAAAATGTATTATGTTCTTGTAATCTAAATTCTATGCCTCAGTTTTTTATTTTTTATTACCCATATATTTGAGCAAAAAGCAGTCAGCTGCTGTTGGCATGCCAACAGCATGATAAAAGTGTTGTTTTCATGTTGAATGCATTAATATTTTACTCTCTTAAAATGCCTTCAGTTCTCTGTCATAAACCCTGCATGAAATAATTTCTTCAGAAACTATTGCTACCACTGGGACATTAAAACGCAGGGTTTATGTCTTTCAAAGTATAATTACTGAAACTTTGTTATTTTGAAATGTCTAATTGTCTCTGTAATTCATTTCACCAAACCTCATGGCTGGATATCTTTACCTGCATCTTTTCCGTGCCTCTACCTGCTTGCTTGCTTGTGCTGAATCACATGGTTGAAGCCAAAATTAAGAACGAATAAGAAAATTGTATGTATTTATATATAAGTATATTAAAGATGTGCAAAGAATCTGAATTTGTTGTGAAATTTCAAATGACACAGAAAATTATCAATTTATGTTGTAGAACTGACTGCTCATAACAGAGTATGTACATAGTTTAAAGGAAAGGTCCGGTCAGCAAAGAAAAACCAGTGGCTCATTATACCTAAAACTAATACAATTTAATAAATGGTTTATTGAATTTAGCTTTAATCGGTAAAAAACAGCAGGGGTGCCATAAGCTGATTTAGCAGCGACAGACAGCTTTACAAGAAAAACCAATGGGACTAGAAACAATGAGACCAGACACACCTGCAATCAACATCAATTATTTTAGATTTTGAGAGGACTTCACCATTGAAATTTGTACGAGCCATAGTTAGTGACAATGCCCGCGTGCATGGCAGTTGGATGTTGTAATACAATGGGTAAAAGTGAAAAAACATTTTTTTTTTCACCTTTCCGATTCATGATCCACCACGAGTTCATCCTTGGATTGCCAACTTGAAGAGGGAGGATTTGCAATCAAACTTCTGGCCAGAGAAAAAACACGTAATATGCAGCCAAGAAGAATCTTTTCAAGATGACTTGTATAATAGCGCGTTGTTACAAACACCAGATACAGCACTGGGACTTGCTCAACAGCCGATACCGCACTGTGACATCACAAACCTGTAGGTGGCAGTAGTGCTCTTTGACAAACATGGATGCCTCCAGTGAAGCACATTGAAAAGAATATTACTCTTAATAAAAAACACTTATTTATTGAACAGTATGTAATAATTTTATATTTAAAGTACTTATGACCAGACTTTTCCTTTAAATATGAAAAAGCAAAAGTAGTCTCCCTTTTTAAGAACTTTATTTCTAACTTTATAACCACTTTTTATGTGATTTACCAAGACATTTGAATCAATATGAACTAGAAGGAGGGAATAAATTATGGTTTTATTAGAAAGGACTAGGAAGCTGGTCAGAGATGATGGTGAGGTGGATGATGGTCTAAATACTGGAAGAAACTGCAAGGTAGATGAGACTGGGATATAGGTTCAACTCCCTGAAGGATAATATCAATCATAATCAACATTATTAATGTACTAAATAAGAACTATTAAGGAGCTTTTAAGATTTCATTAATTTTTCAGAAAAACATTTGGCTCCCATCCGCTCTATAGTAATTATAAAATATCGATTGGTTCCTTTTTTATATAATACCAGTTCAATTTTGGTACTTTTTATTATGACAGTTTTATTAGTAACCCTATGGAGATTCAATTCTCCTTTAAATGCAAACTACTTTGCCAGATCAGAATTGAATCTCATTTAGAACCACTACTCCTAAACCAACCAACAATTGTCTTTTAAAAATTATTTCATACTCATATTTATGTTTTCCCCTCCGTCACTTAAACATTTATTTATTCAAATAAAACATAAAATGAAAATGGACAACCAGGTATTTCTCCCCTGACGTCTTCCTAGTGAACTATGCAAGGTGTCTCCATAGGACAGAGAACTGCAGCGGCGGATTTTATTTCCTAAAGTAGCAAAGAATAGCTTTGATATTTAACCTCTCCTCTCTGTGCCTGAGGGCCGTTAGTGGGCTCGCGCCGTGACGATGGTCCGTGACGCAGGTTCGTCGTCCTCCATCACTAGCCGAGCCCTGACTGAAAACATCCAGAAACCCAGCGAGCCAACACGACCCATGGAAATATGTAGTTAATTTACAGTGTTTGTCACATTTATATAGCAGGAGGGTTTAGTGGACTTGGTAAGTCTACTTTCCTAATATTAGTTTTGATGAATAATTCTTGCCGTAGCCGTTTTGGAGCTATTTTTTGTCTACGTTAGCCAGCTAGCTAGGTGAGAAGCTAATGTTAGCCTAGCAAAGGCGGATGGCGATGATGGCGGATGATGCCCGTTAGTTCCAGCTGCGGCGATGGAAAATGGAATAGCAGCAACGTAACTTAAATGTTGCATTCAGTGCATATATGCCACATCTATAATTTTGTCCGGGGATTGCTGTTGTTTTTTATTTGGTTGTATTATCTAACCCGTAAGGGATCGTGTTGACAGACGGAACCTGCTGAAGTACGTTTGTTATTGATCAGTCACTCCATCAATGATAGTAACCCCGGTTAGCGCCTTGCGTTAATATGTCAGTGAGATACCGACTTCGAAGTAGTTAGCAGTGATTTATAATAAACGAGTTATCTGTGACAAGCGGCACAATCCATCTTGATATATTTATTCATCAATAGCAATTCGTCCGCCCAACTACATAATATTCAATTATTCTTAAGTTGTCCAAGTTAGATTTTGATATTAATGTGACAAGGGATGCCTGGTTTGTTTGAACAGGACTTAAAATATCGGGGAATATTGAATTATAAATTATAAATAATTTAGTTGTTAACTGTGAAGCCCCTTTATATTATTTAATTATAAAACTACTCTCTTTTGAAAGTCCAAAGGAACAAACAGGCAAATACAGAATCATTTTTAACTTGACGTCTAGAGTTAAATGTTATGTTATTTTAGAATCTTGGAAACATTTAATACATGAAACCTATCGAAATTACTGTTTACCTGTGTTAGAATCTAGAATAGTTGTTAAAAAAAACAAACAAGAAAAAAACATTCAGCTAAAAATATTAATTATTTTAGATTTTATTCTAAATTAACTGCATCAAATTTATTTAATAAATAAGTGTGCTTCTTTAAGACCTTTGCTGTCAAGTTCAGTATTGGGGTAGGCTGAGTCTTTAAAAGGATAATATCTGGCATATACCTTTCTCTGCTAAATGTTTTCTGGGAAGTTGTGCCTGTTAGGATCTTATTTCTAGGTGTTATTTAAGACTTCTACCGTCTTAAATTGGCTCTGCTTTTATCTGCTTTTGTTTTGCAATCTAAACTATTTCCCTTTGATTATGGTGAGATTATCTGTTTTTGTAATGGTACATAGAAGGAGCTTAAACTTTCTGTTTCCCCTTTGTTTTTGTTCTACCTAAGAAATTTGCAACAATATCCATTATGGGCAGCCTTAGCAATCCCCTTCGGCAAACTATGACAAAACAAAGATGATTCCAGGTGGCTTCCTACCAGATCTTCAAATCGTCTTTCTCCCGAAGCATAAAAATGCCCTACTTATAATGGCAAAAAATTACTTTATTTGTGGGGGGGTTTACTCATCAGTATTTTCTGACTTATTTATTTTTGTACTTTTTTTTTTTTTTTACCTATTTACATTCTGGCCCTTATGAAAATGTGTAATACAATCAATATATGCTTACTTTTTTCCCTGCCATTCTGCTGTTGATGGTCATAACCTACAGTTAAGTAAGAAATTGTTCAGTCCATTTGCTGAATGAGATTTTGAATTTTATTTTTTAAATTATATTTTAATTGGATCACAATTTTTCTTTGGACTGAATTTAATAGTAATGTTTTTTTTTTGGCCTAGCTAGTTCTGACTTGAATCTAATGGAGAGCTATGGGGGATCCAAAATAATAGTGTAGGGCTGAAACAATTAATCAGATTAATCGATTATTAAAATAATCGTCAACTAATTAGAATTAATCGCTAACTGGAATGTAGAGACTCTAAAACATGCCTTTAGTGACAGACTGACCCACCTTGAGTAGAAATTATACCAAAATTGTAAAAAATAGAATATAAACATTTTGCATTTAAAATAAAAAATCTTTTCCATCTGTCAGTATGCTCTATTCAGAACTTCTCAAGTGGAAAAGTTTTAGTTTCACCTGGTTTGATCTCAAATAAATTATTTTTTGCTATCTGATTATTAATCAGAAACATAATCAACAGATTAATCGATTAGCAAAATAATCGTTAGTTGCAGGCCTACTATTGGGCGAAGGCCAGATGGCCTTACAGCCTCCAAGGTTTTGTTGCCTATGTCCAAAAAAAATCTCATCACAATATTAGTCCAGGATGGACAAAGCCTGTTGGCAATCATAGTAAGTATCTGAATAGTTTAATGCAGATTTAGGTCTTTATTGATTGGTTTTAGATCATTTTTGTTCTCTTTTATACTGTAAATCTACAGCATTTATGTTTAACAATAAACATGGATAACCTTAAAACAGCGGGCTGTATTCTGTAAGGTTTTTTTTCTTCTACATTTGATCTTGATAATTTTCGACGCTGTCAGCATTTTCGAATCCAGCCTGTTTCATGACACATAGAGGATAAAAAAAATGAAACATAGTGACATTACTGCACACCATTTATCCTTTTTTAATGCACTACGTCTCCCTTTCAAAACAGCCTGATTGAAGCATAAACATATTTTTTGTAACACATGTTTTTCTTTTAAAGTACATTAACTTTGTAGAATATTCTTGCGTCTTTGTGCCTCTTTGATTTAATTTTAATCACTTAAATTATATTGAATATATCTA